GTGTGTGTCTGAGCAAATGTTTCTCATAAAGCACATTGTTAGCCGAGTTAGGCCGTCGATAATGAACTCTTCCTCTGTTGGTGAAAAGGCTGCTGTTGAGGGGAACCATGGGAAACTCGTCATCTGCGCTGCAGAGGGAAGAGGCTTGTGATGGGATCAGTGAGGCAGAGTGTCGGGGGTTCAAACACGCGACACGAGAACTGACACGTAACAAAAAAATCCTGAGAGATGAGTTGTGAATTTTACATGTGGACGGCGCGAAGGGGCTGCAAGGAAGTGAGAAGAAGAGTGAAAGAGCATTATGAGAGAGGGAGGAGAGCATCTGTAGTGAAGCAGACTTGTATTAAGGTTGAAGGCACTGTGGGTGTTGTCTCCATGGAAACCAAGGGGGAAGGAGAATGGAGGATCCTTTTATCCCTGCTTTTACCTGAGTGATCAAAGGTTTGGTACCCACTATTAAAGTTGTACAGAAGTATGGTTTTCAGACTCATGGCTGAAGATATCTTTTCCCTATAATGCAACTTTTTCTCCCTTAAAGGAACAGTTCAACATTTTGGTAAATACACTTATTCACTTTCTTGCAGAGTTACATGAGAAGTTGGATTCTCATGTTTGTCTGTTCGATATGAAGCTACAGCCAGGACACAGGTTAGCTTAGCTTTGAATACGATTGGATACAGCTAGTGTGGTTTTGTCTGAAGGTAAAAATATGTCTACCAACACCTCTGAAGCTCACCAAATAACACGTTATATCTCATTAATTTGTGGGTAAAAACGTTGGAGCTTTAGATAAGCTGATAGGCGGACTTTGTCAGGCTGTTTCCTGCTGCTTTCAGTTTTTTTATTCTAAGCTAAGCTAACAGGCTGCTGACTGTAGCTTCACATTTACCGTACACACAGTGAGACACATGAGTGCTGTGAATCTTCTTATCCAGTCTAATCTTAATCTAATAATCTAATGAGAAGAAAGTTAATTATCTTATTTCCCAAAATATCACAACTATCCCTTTAATTATAAGAAAATCATTTGTAGAATAAAATCTCCATAAGATAATTCATTTAAAATTTCTAATTAATGTTATTTCATACTATACATTTATTATATTTTATTCAAAATAAGATATTGTATATAATTAAACTATCTTTCCCCAAACTGACCTCAAATGTTCTCTTCTGAAAATAAATTCTGCCCCACAGCACTGAGAAACAACCCCTGGCCTGAACTTTCTCCTTTTATTATTTTCATCTCCAGCATGGGACTGCGGACTGAGGGCTGGGGCTCTCTGCTCGTGGTCTCCTGCACATCTGTGCGTTTCACTGATGGGCCAGAGTGTGGGAGGCAGATGAGAGGAGGTGGCGGGGTCCTGAGGTTGCCTGAACGTTGGACAGAGGTTGCAGGAATGTTAGCGGGACGTCTGGGTGGGAGCCGGGATGAGGAGATGTCACTAAGTCTGATTTAAAGTGAGGGCTGTGGGAACACGCCCACGGGGGAATCTTGAATTTGTGTGTGTGTGTATGTGTGTGTGAGAAGGGATGTGGAGGGGTTGGTGGTGTTGGGGGGGGTTGATGGGAGGGAAAAGGCCTGGGTGTTTGGTTGTGTGGTTCGGGCTGAGGCCCAGCAACAGGCCCTGAGGACACCAAACACGCACGCACATCAACACACAAAGACATGACACAGAAAACACGCCCATAACGACCCATAGTCACACACAAACTGCACAAACACACACACACCTCAGTGTCATTGTTGAGGTTCCACAGGTCTAAGCGGCCCATGCCATCCACGGCGGCGAATATCGCTGGGTGTACGGGCGACCACATGACGTCATAGACATAGTCGGCGTTGTCCTCGAACGAGTACAGAGGCTTGTTGTGCTGAAAGAGAGGAAAAGAGGATTTCTATGCGAGCTTGTGTGACTGAGATGGTGTGAAAAAGCACTGCGTTAGGGATTACAGTAGATGACACACTACAGATAGAAAGAAAAGAGAGACAGAGCGAGAAGGAATGGAGAGAGGGAGTGAGCGAGCTTCAGACAGAGTGGCGCTGCCTCAGCCTTGGGGCCTGTCTGGGTGCAGAGCCTAATTAAAAAGCCTCGCACATTCACACAGCACCATAAAACCGCTGGGAGAGATGAAAGGGAGGGCCCCTCCACAAGGTGTACTGTAACCTCAACACAACAGCTGTCTAAGAGAGAGAGAGAGAGAGAGAGAGAGAGAGAGATGGGAGATGGAAATAAGAGGAAAAGGAGGGGTGGACAATGAGAGGAAGAGGCACTAGAAATAGGTTGTGTGTGTGTGTGTGTGTGTGTGAGAATGTGTGTGTAACGCTGACTGACAATGGACCTTTTTTTCATAAATAAACCTGTCAGTGCTCTCTGGTGGAC